ACCTTGATTATAACTATTAACAAAATAAGTAGAAATCTACACTTATATGATTAGGTACATTGAACAAATTTTTTATACTGAGACTGATACCTGATATATAAAAGTGTATATATATATAATATTTGAAAAGCAGTAACGCATAAATGTATTATCTCGTGCGTAATTATAAAATGATATCTTATTAATACTATATTGTTATGTGCAATTATAATAAAATGATTGATTTATCAAATGTAATAAACTTTTTTGTAAAAAAAATAATAATGTATACATAATATTAAAATAAAACAATTTTTATATCATTTATAAAAGTAAAATACAAATATTCAGTTGACCAAAAAGTAATAGTACGTGAAGTTATTGTACTTTTTCAGTACATGTAGCATTTCTAATTTTTAACAAATTTCATATTACAATGTTTCATATCGTTCACAGAATTAAAAACTAGATGAAATATTATTAATATCTGTAAAACGAATTGGAAATAAATAGAAAGATATAAGACTACTTCAAATTACACCATTATTGTACTTAGTGTCTTTTATTTACAAACACCTCGTATTATTTACTCGCATTATTTACACTTATTTTTTTTTTTTATAGCATGAGTAAAAAATACAAAAGATGCATATTATAATAATTAATTTGTATTTTAAGACACTTGTATTGGTCTAATTTTTAGAAATAGTATTATTACATAAAATATAACAAATATTAATATAAACATATCTTTCCTAAGAAACATTTGTGTCTATTTATATAATTATTGTTTTCTTATTAATTAATAAGTATACTTCGTTATAATGCAGTTTAATATGATACAGTACTTTATACATTTATATTATATTGCTGATGTCATGTCAATTTTCATTAATTTTAATTATTCTCAACCACTTATTTTAATGAAAGGACAATAATAGATGTGTCAAATTTTATTAAATTATTATTTGATTTTATAGAATGTTCTATTATTGTTGTCAACAATTAACAAAATATTAAATATACCTGATTAATGGCCAGTGTTTAATAAATTTTTTTAAATAAATTGGCTCTCCTAAAACTCTCAAAGAATATTTGATCTTAGTGGCTTAAATACATTAATCTCTTTATCTCTATTTTGTAACGAATAAAATTTGTTGTATTAAAATAATTAATAATCGACAATGAAGATACTTTTAATTTATCCATGAGGTAGGATTAGATAAACAAACGAGATTAGGAGAGTATAGTAAATCCTATTGCGAGGGTCCACTCATCATCCCCATAGGTGGCATACCTTGAATACCATATGGTCCTTGTGGTGGTCCTTGTGTTCCAGCCATTGGAGAATGTAACTGCATTGCTGGACTTTGTATTTGTTGGTTTGGAGTTACTTGACCTCCAGCTGGAGATGCAACTACCTGTTATATAAGATTAATTAAATGCATGTACTACAGCTACATCAATTAAGAGTGAAACAGTGTCCAACCGTTCTAAGCAATTAGGCCACGAGTGCAATCTTCTCTTCAGATTATTATACATACCTGTGGTATAACTGGAGGTTCAGAAGGAAGCGTCAAATTTGTTAAAAGATCTCTTACAGCTGGGAACAAGGAGCACTCTGATTGATTGGCTCCGTATTCAGCAAATCTTTTTAGTTGTAACGACGCTGATGCAGTTGCAGAAGCTGGACTGGGATCTCTTTTTTCAGCTAATTGAGTTAAATTAGTACTTACATCGTACACAAGTGGTAATACAAGGTATGGCGTTTCTCCTTGATACGGCATACCTAATCTTGTTATTTGTAACTAAAATGAAAAATTATCTTTTCATTATGTAGATTTCTCGATAACTGGAATTAATGAATTAATTAATGATAAAATATAATAAGAGTGTTTACTAAATGATTATCGTTTTGTATATTTGTAACATTAATAGACAAATATACTTACGAAAAATAGAATTTTATTTCTGCAAACAAGTACTGCTGCCATACCAATTGGCACAATTGGTGTTGCAGATGGTGGAATACGTAAACACCATTGTACACCCCATTTTAATTGTTGTTGTTGTGCAAGACCAGGTACAAGATCTAATTTCATTATTTGAACAAAATCTTTTAAAACGTTGAAAGGAACATTGAGCATCCTGCCGAATCCAGATATTGTATTTGGTTTATAAGGTGGAACAGCAACCCGTGTATCGAAAAATTTTTCTATAATCTGCAGAAAATTAAATAAATTTATGATTTTACCATTTAAATGTGTGTATTAACAGTATTAATCTTAGAGCGTGTAAGTTCAGATGTAGTCTACCCAAGTTGAACTTAGCACAAAAACTTGTGCAGATAATATATACAATTTCCACTAGGATTAATCTTACTTGTAATTCCTCGGAAGTCCATTGATCTTTGTGTTCTGGAAGCGGTTGTACTTTTATATGAAGAGATTGAAGATGTTGTGGATTTAATCCAACTCTACATTGTAAACTTTCAACCTTAAAGTGTACAACGCCTGGTTCAGTGATATTGATGCTAGTTAACTGAAATTATAATAAATATATTTAATTTATTCACATTTTCTTACTTTACAAAAATTAATAATTCATAAACATAGACAATTTTTAAATAAATTAAATAATAATTAATTTGTAATTCTTACGCATTCGTCTTTTTGAATAAAACGTGTTAACTGTCTCCTCATATAAATACAGCCTAAAAATCTTTCGAGTGGTGATAAATCTGGTCCAGGTAATCCAGAAGGATGAGAAGAAGGACAACAAAGTAACTCCAATGCTTCATGAGTTAGAAGAGTTGGTACAGCACCGGCCCATGATCTTTGAGGTAATACTCTAGATATATGACTTCCACTTTTATGATCTGTTGCTTGAGGACTGTGTAAGGCTGCGTGACCAGGACTTTGACCGGGTCTTACTGGAGATGGTCGAGGAACACTTGGTGACCCTGGCCAATTGGAAGCAGCAGGAGAGGCCATACTTTGTGAAGAAGGAAATGGACTACCATCGATATGACCTAATATGAAACAATATATAAAGTTTAATTTCTAAAACATTTATATTAATTTAGCACAATTTGTTAGAAAATGTGTACCTGTTTGCATAAACGAACCCGCAGGTGAGTGTCCTACTGGCACATTATTACAAGGCCCTGGAGAAGATGTTGGCATAAGTCCAACAGGGCTTGATACATGCATTGGATTTAAGGGACTGTTGGCAACAAGACTTGAGCCAGGTGATGGGTGTGGTAACATATTTGGTGTATTAGGAGGTAGTGAAGGTGGTGACGCTAAATTAAACGAAGTTGCTGGACTACTACCAAAACTTTGATGTTGACTGGCCTAAAATTACGTTATTCTATTATAGTTTATTATATCAATAAAAATCTATATATTTGCTTATTGATATTGCATTAAAAAAAATACCTGAGATATATTCGCAGTATGTGGACTAGCTGGAGTATGTGGATTACTACCAGACGGTGGAGTTAAAGGTGGATGAAACCTTAAACCATCTCGTTGTTGGGCCGGAGATTGGGGACCACTCCTATGATGACCTAAAAATCCAACTCCACTTCCTCCTCCATCGCTATCCATAGTAACTGGCGATGGTGGATTGTCATCTTCTGATTGTGATCTTCTTCTAAAAAGTGCACTCTCATCCACGTATTTAGAAAGAAATGCCTATTAAAATAATAATAATATAATTAATGAATAATATATCATCCAAAGAAATAATTGATATCTAGATTGAATCTATTACCTTAAGACCTTGCATAGGTGTAAATTCATTAACAATATAACTTCTATCAAAACAACTATATGCACCGTCACGCAAACTAACAAGTCCATTACCCCTCATTCTTAATTCCAAACAATATAATCCTTGGTATGCTATTCTCACCATTGTCACACATTGTGGCATTATTGTAAATGTTTGTACTGGTACTTGTGGCCTCTATGAAATGAAAAAATAATATTTTAATATAATTTTACAATAGCAAAAAAATAATAATTATTGAATAGGGGTAAGACTTACGGAATTATATACACAAAGTTGAGGAATAGTTGGTAATTTACTAATTGATGTAAGTGGCTGTATAGTTTCATGAAGTATAATAATTAATTGAGCTAAATTTCTATATCTATTCAAATGTGCTTCAAGTTGCTCCTTCATGATAGAATGAGCATTGGCAACTGTATTTGTTGGACCTGCAAAATATAAATTACTATAATTAGATATGAATCATATTTTATTTAATCCATCAATTTGAATACTATGTAATATAAAAATAATTTCAAACAAACTTGGGTAATAGAAACTAGAATTTATTATTATAATAATTAATTTACTTTTCCCAAATATTAATTTAAATGCTTTGTCATCAGTATTCCAATAAACAGTTACAGTTGCTCCCCGGTTAGGACCATATGCGAGGGTTAATTTACTATAACTATATGATTTAACTGTGACCAAATTTCGTAAATTATATTTTTCTAAAAAAGAAAAATATTAAATAAATATTATATGTGTTAACAATAAATATCATGTACACACATTTTCATACAGATATTTATATTACTTCACATAACTTACCGATTTTAAAATATTCAGCTAAATCTTGAACAATCGAATACAAGTGAACAATTTGTGCCCAATCATTCAACAATGAATCAACTGTACGTGACACATTGTCCGCCGTTAACGTGTCATATGAAAAATATATTGGTCTGCGTAGACCTAACATAAAAATATTTATAAATATTATCAAAAAATACAATTATTTGTATAAGATCTCTTATAGAAAAATGAATCATCAAATAATTATATTTCTTTATTTGATACATTGTAATAAACAATACCTTGTTCCTTAGTATGATTACTAGTAAGAGGACTGCTGTAAAATACAAATTCAGCCATCCATGACTTTCCTATCCCCTTTCCATGAACTCTAATAGAAACACTGAGAAGTCTTTTTAAGAGAGAAAGCCATGCACTGCTTGTTGCAATATTTGGTGATGGAGGAGGTAACTGTACAAGTTTCAACACTAAAGCAGTGGCATTTGCTTCTACTTGAAGTCCTTGATGTGCTATCTCCCGTCTAGTAAGCTATAGACATTTTTATAGTATTATTTATTTTAATTACTCTTTGACTAACTAATAAATAATAAAGTATTATATTTTACCTCTTGAGCTAAATTTACAAATGGTATTCTTTCGTCGCACAAAGCTACAACGTGGGCCAATTCGGGAATAAAATATGCTGGATGTTTAGATCTTCTGTTCTGTGCTATACCCACCGCATCGGTTCTTCCCCCAGGACCCGTGCTTCTACGCTTGTTGCTCATAGGCTCGGTTGCTTCTGTAATGCACCCCCCATCTTGATCATTACTCCCTAAAAAATCCTCCCATTAATCCCCCTAAAGTAGTAAGATGCCAACATCACATTCATTGTTGCCAGATGTTAATACTTGTAATTACAACACGTAAACAAAGATTAGTAAAATATTTTAGATATATTAGTCATTATTTACGAAGTAATTAGCAACAGAAAATATCATTATTAAAGATCTAACTTTCAACGATAAATCTTATGTGCATAAAGAAATATATATGCTAAAAATAACATGACCTAATAAACTGTTATACTTTAAATCTTCCAGTCTAACACTGATACTGGTTGCTTACATTTCTACGAGTTCCACCAGGGAAAAGAGAAAATATATGACGAAGCAAAATAACGTAGCTAACTACTAAAGTTAAAAGGGTAAAACAATAAGACTGTTTTAGTAATGATCAATAAATCAATACATTGGTGTTAGCTAAATATCTGCTAAATAATACTTTTCCTATATTATCAACATACCTGTACTTCTGGCAATAAGAGATTATGAAATATTTCATATCATGCATAATTTTACCAGTTAGATAATACACACGTATGTTATATAAGGTAAAAAAATTATGAAAAATATTATATACACATAGCAACTTACAATAATGTAATAGATGTTAACATTTTGACATGCTTACTATGTAGTTAATTAATGATGTATATTTTTTTAAATTTAATTACATGTATACTTACCACTATCAACACTAGTGAATGGCCCATGAGTAATTACAAATGTATCGAACTCGATAAGAGTTTGAACTTTTAAATACATTTTAGGAATTTCTGTTTCTATACTATCATCGTGTGGATCGTCTTCAATGGAACTATGTTTGACTACTGCAAGATAAAATGAACATTCAATCTCGCATGGAGAATTTTCTTTTTCCTTAAATGCCACAATCTAAAATAAAATAAGCATTTTAAATATAACTATTTTTCTTATTTTTATTTATGTTATTAGAAATTATGCGACTCTATACATACCAAAATAACCGATGGATGTCTGTGTAATTGAACGAACATACGATGTCTACTAATTTTGGACATTGGGTGATCTGGATGATGCAATACTGGTAAACGCTCAGAAGATGTGGCAGGTAGATGTTGTAATGTTTTTTCACATCTTCTTTGCGTGATCCAAAACCTACAATAACAAAGTTTATAATACATTGAAGTTAGATACTTCCGTTTAAGGAAATACAATATTTATTGATATCAACAGAGTAATGCATAAAGTTTTACCGTAATTCTGATATAAGCGTTGGAAGTTTAGAATGATCGCCATTCAATGCAGCAGTTAATTCAGGCACTAAAGGTGCATCATATTGAGGTACATGACATTGAAGCATGCCCGTATGAGTATCTACAGTAACTAAAAGAAGTTCTGCTCTTAAACATGGCTGTAATACTGGCACTGATAAAATAGCAGGGGATCCTGCTAATGTACCTGTAACGATGCGTAGTGTATGTAAAGAAATAATCTTATATTATCAGCTTGTTAAGAGTATTTTCTCTTTCATATATATACTTACATTCAACATCTTTCAACATCGCTTGCAATTCTTGTTTTAATTCAGAAAGACGACTTCTTGTTCGTATATATATAGTGTGCACAAGTAAACACTCCATTGACAACTGATCCGATCTTATAGCTCTATCTGCTATTTCACTTTCCTAATTGATCATAAAGAATATAATAAATAAAACAATTATAATAGCTTATACTATAAAGTTATAATTATTTGATATTAACTTTGCTTCCTAATGATGGTACATGTACCACAGCAAGAGGTCTTGCAGGATCATGTTGATCAACTTGTACAGTTAATCTGTATCCAAGTTCTGATCTAGGATCTTTACTAGTTAATTCTCTGAAATTTTATTGATATTAGTATTACATAACACATATAACTGTTCAACTAAGACTATCAGCGTGAACTATAGATGCATATGTGCGTCCAACAATTTTTTCTATCTTATAACGAAATCTATACTACGCCAAAAAGTAATAAAAAATATTTGAAACTAAATTAAGATCAAAATGAAACTGTTTTATATTAAGTACATACCTCCAGTAAGATATAGATAAACATTTCCCAGGTGTATATTCATCTACATGTATATGTTCATCCAATCTATCGCGAATTAATCTCAATGTTTGAGAATAAAGTACTTCCAATTGTAGCGATTGACAAAAATAATGAAGTATATGGTATACTTCAGACAATGGATTAGAACTTTCTGCTAATCTAGATTGCACAACCTTTTGTAAAAAAAGAAATGTAACATATTATAATATATTATTTATAAAAAATATTATAAAATAATGTTATAATTATTCACCTGATGAACATATCGCGTTTGTAAAGAATGTACTAACGCTTTTCCATCACCCGTTTCTCTATCGGAAACTAAAATTTCCAATTCCAGTAATCTCCATGGTACCGCTGGGCCATCTCCCATAACAGTAAGGGAGACAGAAAATTCTTGTTCTACTAAAAATGTAACTCTACCAGCCTCAATCTATACGACAACAAAAAGAAGAAAATAAATCCAAGAAAAACGATTTAAAATTCAAACCGATATTCTTAAATGAGAAATTATTTTGTATAAACGTACCTTCAAATTACGCATTTGTGGAAGCAAATTTCCGGTAACTAGTCTGTGTTGTATTACTTGATTTAATCTTTGTAAAGTACTTCTTTTCTCTGCCGGAGTAATAGGATCTGGGGGTACTATTCGTTCCTGTAAAAATAAAACTTACATAATCGGCCGCTAATTACTAATTTGTATTCGTTGAAATCATTAAATATTATATATACATACTCTGATACAAGCTGGTAAACGACCATATGTTCCAGTAGTAAGAACCTCTACCGCTGCAGGAATATGAAAATTAGGTAATCTAGCATGTACGAGTGTTTTTCGAGCCATTCTTGCGAGCATGTCAGCAGTATCAACAAATAGTAAAGATTGTTTATCTAAAAATGCCATAATATGCTGTAACATATAAAGACATTTTATATTTACATAAATTAATTAATAATAATCAATAAGATATATATAAGCATGTCTACTTACAGCTGATTTATCCACTTTAGATGCACTGTTGGCCCACTTTACTAATGCTAATAAACGGACATACAATTGTCTCGTTCTAGCAGAAAAATTATAAATTTCAATCTTACGTTCCATATCAGTCTTACGAGGCAATCTATATGAATAAGTAATGCATTATTATTTCTATCATTTAAATTCGCAATATTATTAAGTAAAATATTTGCGAATGGTTATTAAATTAATTAAGTATATATTCAAGATATCCTGTAACTGATACATGCGTAGTCGACAAATTTTTAAATTTATTTTTGTCTAAAATAAAACTTTATATTAAAACATTATATTCTACATCTCCGACTTAGTTTTCCACATAGAATCATTCCCTGCTTGCTTGTGTCACCAGTTACAGGATATCCTGAATATGTATATATTATATATATATATATATATATATATATATATATATACACTTACAATTCTGCTAGAACAGTAAGTTCATGATAAGTACGTTGTATAATAAAATCTATTAGCAATCCAAGATTAATAGAACCACCACGATTACCCTCCTGGGGTATATTATTTGTTACAGGTGTTTGATGCCCTTCTAACGGTACCGGTGCCATTTTTATTTTTTATTATAAACAATATAATGTCTTCTTTTGATCTTGAAAAGGATAACATGAAAATATGTAACAAAAAATAAATATTAAAAAATAATTTACATTGTGTAATAATATTAGAATATAAATTAGAAATAAGTATTGAACTTACGAATCAAATATATTTTTTGTTTACATGTAATTATAAATGAATAATTTAAAATCACGAAGCGTGCTGCAATGTTATAAATACTTTTTATATCATCAAACCAGAAAAGTCAACTGAAATAATAAAATTATATTCAATATGATCACTGTGTGAAAAATACATTATATTAAAATCAAAACGCGAGAATTTAAATACTGAATAAAAAAATATATACACTTTCTCTCAAATGATCAATAATATGATATTCAGAACATATTTTAATTTTTATAATAATCAAATTATCGAGTTAAACAAGTACGTAATAATAAATTTATAAATATAAAACAAATGTACAAAATTTCATTTAAAAGAAACAAATAAAACTGAAGTAAAATGATAAATTGTATTTTCTAACGTTACCAAATAAACAGTAGTATAAATTGCTAAGTAAAAAATAAAGTGCAAATAACCTACTTCTAATCAAACAACATTATTATCTTCCGGCATGTTTGATACTTCACCACGACGCATTAGAAACTGATTTCGACCAAGTTTATAACCAAGAAGTCAAACCAACTTGTAAAAAGTTGAAAAATCTGTTTCAGATGATACGCGCAATTATTACAGAGAAGATAGACATAGATAATCATATTTATAACGTCCAATAGAAAACAATAAATTCAGCTAATTTTTTGAAAACATTTCCTACCAAATTAACGCTTAGAAACTCAATTGATGAAGTAAAATTATATAAATATGTAACGAAATAGCGCTGTTATCGCGTAATCCTATTGGTCGTCACAACACAGCCATATACTAGTTGTGCATTCCATGTTCACCTTGGCACGTCATTCACGGCCGCTCACGCGCGGGTTCTGTGAGGATATTTTAATTTAAAGAAAAAGTGTCTATTATATGAATTGCTTAAAATGGGTAATTCGATATCAAATATAGACCCACAAGAAGTAGTAATTCCAGAATTACAAACCTTATTAGAAAGAGACCCATATTTGGAACCTTATAAAAATGATATACGTACAAGGTATCTTTATAAAGTTTAAATCATCTTCTTAATCAATCTATCATTTTCTTCTATCTTATTTATTTACTATAATATATATATTAATTATCTTGTAGATATGGTTTATTTAAACATTATTTAGACAAAATAGAACAAGGTGATGGTAATTTAAAAAAATTTACCAAAGCATATGATACATACGGAATACACATTAATGAAGACAATAGTGTGATAGCAAGAGAATGGGCCCCTGGTGCTCAAGAATTATTTTTAACAGGAGATTTTAGTAAGTAATTTAACTTTATAATCGATTCAATTGATATATATATATTTTATTTATACTACTTTTAATTAGAATTAAATAAAATAGAATTTTTATTAGTCATTCTTGGCCAAAGGCTTACGAACAAATACCACTATTCTTAATTAACATCATTAATTACTTTTTTGTTAAAGATGGTTGGGATAAAACTAAAACGCCATACAAAAAATTGGAATATGGTAAATGGGAATTATATTTACCTCCTAATCCAGATGGTAGTTCTCCATTAAAACATCTTTCTGAAGTTAAGGTCATTGTTAAGGATCATCATAATGAATTGTTGGAAAGACTTAGTCCTTGGGCCGTATATGTAACTCAGCCAGCAAATCGAAGCGAAGGCACAACATTTAAACAACGTATTTGGCATCCCAGTCCTGAACAAGTAAGATTTACAAACGAAATATTTATTGTAATTGAATTGTATTAATATATATTACTCTTTTTTTCTTAGGTTTACAAATTTCATCATCCTAAACCAAAGAAACCGGAAAGTCTTAGAATATATGAATGTCATGTTGGTATCGCTACGGAGGAATTACGAGTTGGCACATACTTGGAATTCGCTAAAAAAATAATCCCACGTATAGTAAAACAAGGATACAATACTATACAATTAATGGCTATTATGGAACATGCTTATTATGCCAGTTTTGGATATCAAGTAGCTATACATTATCTTTTCCTTTATTTATTTTAAATATTTACATTAATATTTACAGATTTATTTTGGATTATAATTAATAGGTGACTTCATTTTATGCTATTTCGTCTCGATATGGTACACCGGAGGAATTAAAGGAATTGATAGATGAAGCTCATGCACATGGTCTTTATGTATTATTAGATATAGTGCATTCACACGCGTCCAAAAATACTTTAGATGGGTTAAACATGTTCGATGGTACAGACAGTTGTTTCTTCCATTCTGGAAATCGCGGACAACATCCACTTTGGGATAGTAGATTGTTTAATTACGGGGAATACGAAGTACTACGATTTTTACTTTCAAATTTATGTTGGTACATAAATGAATATGGCTTTGATGGATTCAGGTAAAAATAATTTCTTCTTTTTCATTCTACATTGCTAGTTAGATAATATCAAATATTGATAACTTGCAATTAACATAGATTCGATGGAGTTACATCAATGCTGTATCACTCGAGAGGTTTTGGACAAGGTTTCAGTGGTCATTACGATGAATATTTTAGTTTAAACGTTGATTTTGAAGGTGTGGTTTATTTAATGCTTGCTAATTATATGCTACATGATCTGTACCCTGAAATTACCACAATAGCCGAAGATGTTAGTGGAATGCCTGGTGTATGCAGGTATAAACACGAATACAATTAAATATTAATATAATATTATTATATATTCTTCGCACAAATAGGAAGCTGATGAAATTAAATGATAAACAAAGTCTACTTATAAGCATGATTATTGTAATAATGTATAGAAGTTGCATCTCAAGAAAGTACATTATTTTTAAAGACCAGTCGCTGAAGGTGGCGTTGGATTTGATTACCGACTAGGAATGGCTATACCCGATAAATGGATTAAATTATTAAAAGAAGTAAAGGATGAAGATTGGAACATGGGTGATATTTGTTGGACGTTAAGTAACCGCAGATGGATGGAAAAAACAGTGGCTTATTGTGAATCTCATGATCAAGCTCTCGTAGGAGATAAAACTATAGCATTTTGGCTCATGGATAAAGAAATGTATACGCATATGAGTAAAATTACGCCAAGTAGCATCATTAATCGTGGTATAGCTCTTCATAACATGATCATGCTTATCACACATGCCTTAGGCGGAGAAGCTTATCTAAATTTCATGGGTGAGAGTTCTTCTGATAGTGCTTCGTATAATTATCTTTATAAAAAGTAGATCATGTAGAATTTCATTCACATTTTTATTCTTATTTTATAATATATATATTTTTTTTTATCACAAGTAATATTCACAGAAATCTTCTTTTTGTTTTTATTTAAATACAAACATAATATACTTTAAATATAACAATATATATATACAATAAATAATTGAATTGAATATATAAAAACTAATTTATTTACATGTAGGAAATGAATTTGGTCATCCAGAATGGTTAGATTTCCCTCGAGCTGGTAACGGAGATAGTTATCATTATGCAAGAAGACAATGGAATTTAGTGGATGACGATTTATTGAAATATAAGTTTATGAATAATTGGGATCGCGATGTAAATAATTTAGAAGAAAAATATGGATGGTTAAACGCTAATTCTGTACGTAATATAAAAGTTTGTCTGACGTTTCAATGAAATAATAAATATCTGAATTTATTTCAGGGCTATGTTAGTTGGAAACACGAGGATGATAAATTAATAGTTTTCGATCGTGCTGGGCTTACGTTTGTTTTCAATTTTCATCCAACAAAATCTTTCGCCGATTATACAATAGGAGTGAGGCAACAAGGAGCATATAAAATATTATTATGTAGCGATAATAAAGAATACGGAGGTGAACATAGAGTTGATAATAATGTTAAACATTTTACGCAACCTGAACCATATTCTGGCCTTCCATACAGAATGATGATATATATTCCATGTCGTACAGCTATAGTTTATGCACAAGGTACATATATAATGATAACTTAATTAACCCCTTGCACTATAACCACGTGTGAGACTCGTAATACACTTTACAACCCAAACATTAGAAAAACTACTCATAATGAATCTTAAAGGCCAAACATAAAAAGCATCGAATATAGCACGCTGCTCAGCACGTTCAATCATAATGCAAGGAGTTAACAATCTATATAATATTATATACTATTATTAACAATCATTATTTATTTTTAGAAACCTAATATTATATATACAGAAAGTATCATATAATGATATACATCGTTAATTGAATAACGTAGTTCCAAATAAAATTATATTTTTGGGGAAAGAAGATAAAGATAAATTTTGTAAACCAAAAATTAATTAACAAAGTTCTATTTACTGTAAAATCTAAATGTTTTACTTAAGCATGTTTATTTCAAATTCTTTGTCATTTATGTCATAATTCATCATTTTTTTCTCCATTATCCACCATCTATCTAAAACTCCTATATCTATTATCCTTTCAAAAAACTCTAAAAAATGCAGTCTTATGTAAGGGCAGACAGCTTTATAGAGAAAACAGTCTCGGTCGTAATTATCCAACCATATTATAGAAAATATACCGAAATTCGTTCTTCTTAAAATACCTTCATTGAAAAACCGTTCTACCAGTTCTATATGTTTTACCGATTCTTCATTACGGATATTTTCGCTTACTTGCATTAATATAAAAGCATTCATTAATAAATCATTTCGATAAGTTTCTTCATCTGGATTATGTTTGCATAAATAATAGGCAGATCCTAAAACTATAATATAAGGGAAAGATTATATTTAGTATACAAAATATACTGTGTGATTCACTAAAGATTGCCACCAAGATAGCTCCAAAAGTATGATAGTAGCAGAAAAGTTTATAGAACGAAAGTTGCATGAAAACTTCGGGAGTATAATATGACATCAGTTCTTTTTTTGCTAGGTTTAGTCGTTTTTGAGATTTAAAGGTCAAGCTGGTTTTTATAAATGGAATGCTATCTTTTGGTACTTATTTTCTAATAGCGACTGTCATGGCGAATTCAACGATATGTAACATTAAGGTATTTGAATGTCAACGAAGGTCAAGTCTGGCGAATCAGTCAACCACGATACAGCTCCTCCGCGTCATGATTGCATCAGCGTTGCGTCATCCTTTAGGTGTCCGACAAAGGACGAAACAGATATCGTTCGTATAGTGTTTATTTGTTATTGTCCGGTTTTGTATTCAATGTTGCATATCGTTAGATTCGCCACGACAGCCGCTATTAGAAAATAAGTACCAAGACATAGCATTCCATTTAAGAAAATAAACTTGACCTTTAAATTTTAAAAGCGACTAAACCTAGAAAAAAAAACTGACTTCATATTATACTCCCGAATTTTTCATGTAACTTTCGTTTTATAAACTTTTCTGCTACTATCATACTTTCGGAGCTATCTTAGTGACAAAAGTTATTGAATCACTCTTATAAGCGTTAAAATATACCTGTAGCAAATATTGATGCGCGTATAGGACGTGCCTTGCAATCATTTATAGTATCGACAACAACTTCTCTGTAATCGATATATACATTTTTCCAATAATATCCTGCAAATTTCAATATGATATTCATGATATCGAGCATAACGTAAACGTATTAATACTTAAGTTATTAGACATCATTACATGAATTCTTACCCCAACGTTCTACTATAGTTCCTTTAAATCTTTTTGGCATTTCATAATCCTTTACTTTATTAATAACTTTATTAATTTTCAGAGAGTATGGTTTAGAAATTAATTTAACTTTATCACTTAATTGAATGAAAGCTCGTGAAACCATCTTAAATAATATTTAAATATTATGAGACTTAATTGAAACAAATAATTTCAATCGCATTTAGTTAAATATTATTATCTTTTTAAGAGGTTAATTTTTAATTCTAATCCCAATTCGGTCTTTGCTAGTAACAGAATCATAGCTCATAAATGAGGCAAGAAGACGGACATGCGCTCAGTTAGAGAGTAATAACAAAACCACGTTGAAAAATGTCAGGATTAGAAATGAGACGCTACAGCCACGGAACCGAATAAAAACGATAGGCTGTGCCCATAGCTATTGTTTCCATTTAGCGCCTTCTAACATCGGCAAGAGGAAGCTGAGGGTACGGAAAAGCAACGAGAGAAAATCGTGACGAAGTAATCACAGACCTTTAATAAATAGTCAAATGTTATAGCTGTGTTTCTCTTACTCTCTCTCTCTCTCTCTCTCTCTCTCTCTCTGATGCTATACTTAACACTGCATAGCAAATACTTTTAGCTATTATGTTATTACTGTTGTAAATTTCTGTATTTTATGATAAACTATGGAAATATTTTTTCTTTTTGTAAATTAAAATTAAATTTCATTTACTCTTAACTAAGAAATAATTTTATACTTAAAATAATGTTAATGAATAATGATATTGAACAAGAAAAGAATGATGATAAAATGAAAATATTACGAATATAACAAAAGTAAAAAAGAATCAATATAAAATGACAAGTTTCCATATTATTAGAATGACAAAATGAAAGAACAATCGATAAAATAGAAATTTAGGGAAAAAATTTTAAATAGGAATAAATTAAATAGATTCAGAAAGTATGGTAATATTTTTTTCTTTTAAAAAATTTAAACATTTTAAAAAAAAGTACTATATTAAAAAATATCTTGATCTAAATAAATAGCAGCAAGATAAGTAAACAAATATTTTGAAAATATTCTCAAGATGTAATTAGAGCTGAATATAAAAGTGTACACTCTACTTCAATTAGAAACTATTAATTAAAATATTATTAACAATTTAAAAATATTTCTGTGACATGTGTTGTTGAATTTCATTAAATATACTAAATTTGTTAGTTTTATAAGTAATATTGTAAATAACTAAGTAAAATAACTATGTGTCGTAATCTTCGTCAATATTGGCAGTATGAGTAAAATTAGATGTTGGATGATTAGTTGTACTCGAGTCGGAGTTACTACTCGAATTCATAGGATTGACCTCCGTATAAAAATTAGGTTGACTAATTTGAAATGATGCAGGTACAGAAATTTGAAACTCTGGAGCTTGGGGCGTAGCACAGATTTTAGAGACATCACTCGATAGATTGATGTTTGAATTTGCTATTCTTCCATCATTTTTCCAAATTTTATGTTCTGCATTTATATCGTTTGATAACAGATTTTGAGAGCTAATGTAGAAAGTATATTATTAAAAGAAAATTAATAAAATAAGATAGTATATTACAAAATAAAATACCTTCGATCTGAATGACACCCTGCGGGTGGACATGTAGTCGCATTAGAAATGTTTACACTTATCGGGGCAGGTGTTAAAGGTGGTGTGGGAACATCTTCATCAGGGCCTGCTACATCTGGTAAACCTTTTACTAAATCTTTAAGAAAATCAAAGCGACTTTCCGATAGAATACATTGTTTCCTATGAAGCATAATTAGAATAGCAACTTAAATTAATTAAATATATAAATATATAGATATAATTTAATCTAATATAATATTAATATAATTATTTAACTTACTTACATATGGGATGGGCTTAAGGTCTTAGCATTCTTAGCACTCGTAATTTGCATCGTTTTTGTAAGTAATGAGTGTACAAATAGTTCTAATGTTCTAGGTATATATATGGTTAAGGTAAACAGTTACAATTGTAAAACTAATTTTTTATTATTATTATTATTATGTTTGTTTATTTTCTTTAATTGTTAAAAACATATTATAATAATGTTGAAAAAGGATATAAATTATAATTGGTACTGCTTGAGCAACTTTTCCAACTTCCTCATCGGTCTGCATAATTTTTTTAATACGACCCTGAGATGCATTTTTTAGGTTAAGTTATCTGTACAACGTTGCAACGATAATATGTAAAATAATACTCGATGGATAAATAAATAAAACAATTAATCCTCATTTATCTAACATTAACGGATATCATCCAGACTTATTCGCGTTATTACAATTAATAATAATTACTCCTAAATATATTATAGGTAAAATTTAATTTTCCATTATTTTAAGGCTTTATTATCAAACAATACCATGATCTAAAAAGAAATTTATATGCTTACCGCTGGAAAACGAGCATTATATTTTTTCTTTTTACTTGGCATTATTTACAACTTTAAATCCGATTAATTAGATGATATTTTTCGAAGAACCGAAAGGATATGCACAATTCATGAAAATAATCGTTTATATATTGCTCGCACCAATCGACGTGTACTCAATCTTGATAAGCATCTCTATTTTCGATAAACTAGTAAAATAATTCGTGCTCGCTAATATTACCGTTCCTTGCATTGATTTTGTATATCTGTATATATATATATATATAAATATATATATTACAAATATATATATATTATACACATGGATATACAATATTTCTACATTACATATTTGTATTTGGATCTTTCTTTTTTACTGTGACGTAATAATTTTTTTCGCGAATGACAGCTTTTCTTTTTTAATAATTTTTTAAATATTTCATTGAATTATTTTTATTATAAATTTTCAAATCTCTTGACCTTTTTTTTATTATCTTATTAAATAATAGTATTTAATTATATTATAAATTAAAAATCAACGAATGCATCAATGATGATTCATTTTCATGTAAAATGCATTAATAATGAAATCACGTAATATTTACATAAAATTTCGATCTTAATAATATCAAATGAAAATATTTGACTATCTTGCTGAGTCCTAATTGGCTGCTGAAGTGGCGCCAATGGCACAGTATTTGCTTATATGCACTCATGTATATTTGCACTATTTAAAAAAACATTAATTTGTTTATTATTATATATATAGAAGGATTTAATCAAATTTGTTAATTTACAGATATTAAATAACCTCCTTTTATTCCGAAAAATCGATTATATAATCAGAGATATCTATTATGAATTGTGGTGGTTGCTGTTAATCTTTCATTTGTGATAAATAAAACTTCGAGACAATTATAATTATTGTTTATGATTTATTCTTAAATCTATTTGCAAAAGGAAATAAAAAATATTTGTAATGCCTCAAGAAAAAGGTATAACAAAAAAATGAATATAATATTCTTTAACGATGTGTTAACCTAAAATTAATTTTCAATAAATTAGATATTTTAGAGATAGATTTGTTGTTGATCTATTTTCTTTTAAGGAATCTATTTTAATTTAAGAAAATACCTTTGTTTGTATACATCGTACTGACCAAATAATTGTTTTTGTATTATTTTATTTAGCTGAGAGAAGAAATCGTGGACATCACTCAAATAAAAACAAAATCAATGTTGGAGATAAGGGAAGAGAGATTTTGGAAAGTATAGACGAAAATAATGTGGTTATACAACAGTTTAGAGCATATTCCAACGAATTGGATACGAAGCATGATAAATTTGAAAAGCTCGTTAAAATAAATCGGGATATTACGATAGAAAGTAAGAGAATAATATTCCTCTTACATACATTGGACAAAGAAAGTAAACGAGAGACAGTACTTGGAGAAGCCAAGATGAGATTTGATAATATCGCAAAAACTCTTTTTAAAAATATTGCATACGAACTATATGATCAGGATATTTATCAATATCTTAGAGCATATAAAGCTGGCCTTGAAGAATATGTAGAAGCAATCACGTTCTTTCAATATTTACAATCCGGTTTTATGCAAGATTGGACTGAGTTAGAAAAGTCGTTGGTTTATAATGAATCAGATAAATCTAAATTCCCTTTGGAAAACTCTCTGCAACCAACAAAAATGACACGAGTGTTAATCACTCCGAATGAATACATCCTGGGTATAGCAGATTTAACTGGAGAACTAATGCGAAAGTGTATTAATAATTTAGCTACAGGAGATATTGCTAGTTGTTACCAAACTTGTAATTTTGTTAGAAATATGCACAAAGGATTTCTAGGATGTACCAATATTTGTAATAAAGACATGAGTAAAAAACTTTATACGTTAAAACAAAGTTTAATTAAAATGGAAAATGTTTGCTATACTATCAAAGTAAGAGGATCAGAAATACCTAAACATATGTTAGCGGATGTTGCCATTGGAGCTGTAGAGGATTATATGGCAGATGAAGATGAAGGATATCAAGTCTAATAAAAAATAATAAAAACATGTAATCTAATTATGACTATGTCTTGCATTTAAGTAGTAAGAATAATAATAGTAATGACAAATACATAATATTTTATATCTATATTTACATTCAACAAACATTATTTTCATAGTAAGTGATAATATTAATTCTTTTTGCATAATTTAAACGAATAAAAACAATTCATTGAATGTAAAAATATTTTTCTGTTATTCTTCCTAGATCAAAATAATGAAATTCTATATATATCAACAATTATAATATCGCCAATAAATTTAAAATATTATTTTTCTAGACTGAAAAAATATTGGGTTTGTGAATAAATTCATTCAGTTTTTTTTAAGTGAATAAACAGCAAATATCATATTGACTTATATTGGCCAACTTAATATTTGCATGTTAATATTATCACACCAATAATTTGTTGTTATACTGTAAGTATAACTTTTCATTATTTCTTTTCTATTATCTTAATTGGTTTCACTATTAGAATCCTTAGGATCACTGTTACTTTCATCTGAATCATAAAAATCATAGTCACTGTCATGGCTAAAATTTTCCATTTCCTCTTCAGTAGAAACACCATCGTGATCGCAATCAGATGGCTCATAATCTGATTCATCAACAGATTCATCGCTAGATTCATCCTCTAATAATAATTCCACTGGAGGTACATATTGAACTCTTGGTGGCACACATCGTTGTCGCATAGTGGAATGTTGAAATTCAGCCTTGTGTTGAGGATTTGTGCGATAGCACTTGATACCATAAGGACACTCAGGTCTTTCGTCAACTTCTTCAAAATCAGGATCACCTGGATGGCTGAATTGAACTTTGTGATCTGGATTCTTTCTAAAAATCGAATTGAAGTATTTAATAAAATATATAAGGACGATATATCGACAGAATCTGCATACCTATAACATTTATCCTTGTAAACACACTTATTTCTTTTAATTTGTACTTGCTCAATATTCGATATATTTGGTTCGTTTCGTTCAGGTGTGGATAAAGAAGTTGTTTCTTGCATATCTTGTTGTACTAAAGTATTTGACTCATCATTAGCACTGAAAGACATAACAAGCTCCTGTTTAATATTTGCTTCAACTTTCTTCTCTTCCTTTTCTTGAATATTTGAATTTTCTTTAACACCGTTAGATAAATCTGGATTTTGTACTTCCGATATTTGACTTGGAATAGTTTGATTATTCTCTGGCAAGCTATTGTTCAAAGAGAACAATCACAGTTTTAATAAGAGTATATATTGCTTTTATATAATAACATTTTTTCTTTTTTTTACTAATATTTAATAAAGTAAAGAACCTAGTATCTATATCTTTGGAAAATGTAGATGCATCGATACTACTCCCTTTGTTCGAGACAGGTATTTCTACGACTGTAGGCTTGGAAGAATCTTTACTATTTTGAGATTTGCTAGAACCAATGTCATGCAAAACTATCGACTTTTGAGGTGCGTCGAAACATATTTTTTTATCCAGTGGTTCAAATGTTAATTCGTCGGCACACTATACAAGTAATATGTATGTATATTTTATCTAATTTAATATCTAGATGCAAATGACGATACTTTAAGAAAATCAAATAACACAATCAAAAGGTAATGACCTTTCTTTTTAGTAGATGATTATCTTTCTCCGTCGTTTCAGACATAGTTATTATTTTAAACCAACATTTGTTTGATAACAAAGAACAAATATCTCCTGGCTTAATAGGAACAGATGTACCTAATTTAAGAAGATGCCATCGAGATGATCCACTTGATTTTATATAACAAGGCGAGATCTGATACTAATAAATATTATCCAACAAATCTAGATTATTATTTATATTATCTTATAACAATAAATAGAATAACCAAAAAATTGTATGCAGTACATAGCAAAAAAAAAAACAATATTAAAATTACAAACATGCTTTGAACATAAAGATACGTTAATTCATCCAATTTCGTTTACAAGTATATTTGTTAAGTGTATTTTAATAAATATTTATAAATATATAAAATTAAATCTTACCGGTGTTAGGGTTATATCACCACTCGGAGACAAATTAATTGTTACAGCCTGTTTAATGAACTGTTCTTTGCTAAACTAAAATTATAAAATAATAAAATAAATGTAAATATTTATATGTTAAAACATATATGTATATTATACTTTGTATAGAGTAATGTAAACCTAACCTATAACACAAAAACTTATTTATAGATATTAAATATTATTTTAATCTCTTTATCCGCTTAAGTTTATCTACGTAACGCACGTGCGCGTAAGATCTAAAATAAAAGTACAAATAACAAAAAATAAAAGAATAAACAAAATATGTTATTAAAAAAAAAACTTAATACACGAAATTATACTCTTTAGATGCAATTCTACAACTGTGTATAAACGCATAAGAGCAGTTAAGTGGTGCCACCATTGAGATTTCATGAAATTAATTTTCCTTGCATACAAAATTTAAAAGCAATAACTAGATAAAAAGTGATTATAGACAAAAATGAAATAATTTTTGTATATGATCATAATTTACAATAAAAAAGTAACAGAAAAATGGATATAATACAAATTATTATCATTATTATATTCAATATTATAATATGATTGAAATGAAAGAACTAATATACGTGGAGTTATACTCACCCCTGTTATATCATTACGACCAATAATATTATTTCCTATTTGTAAATTTGCTATTTGAAAGCGATCGTTTTCGAATCGAATTATTTGCAGTTTTCCCATCCTTACTGTCCATCGGTTCTTTGGTATATAGTCAGCTTAAAGTAAGGGACTAATCAATTTTATTATATCGTAAATTAATATTACATGACATTTTTTTTGTTTACTACGTGAAACAAAATAAAAACTCTACGTGAAGTTCTCGGAAATTGCTTTAAACCTATACGAGATGCATACATACACATGCATGCGTGGATCGTATGTTTTGTGTAAAAAATGAAATAAAGCAATCATTTCAATAAACATTTTAGTCTATTCGTTTGTATTTGCGTGTAATTACTGGGTATCTGAAATAATATTAAATAAAATACACGGAGATTTTGAACTCGATTTCAAAAGGAGGAAAAGTAATTGGGTAAAAAATAAGGCTTTCTATGATAACAATGAAATGTTTTTTTCATTTATACTTACAAAGAATGTACATTTTTATAAACAAAGATAAACACGCTGAGAGAATTAGTACAATACAGTACAGATTTGATTCCAGATTTTTTAAATCGTATCGTATCTTTTTTTAGTGTGAAAAAAGTGACATATAAAAATTGGCCAAATTCAAATCTTCACATTTATTTTATTACAGATATAGATAATATATGTAACCAGCCAGACGTGTATTATCATCGACTTGTTGATCGGAACTTCATTGAATTTGGTGTTGAGAAATTTTTCTATCGTGTATTTTTTCGAAGCATAAATTACGCTTTTTATTTTCTTATATATTTTTGTTATCTTTATCTTTATTTTTAATTTATTTTGTAGTTTTAGAGATCCAAACGCGCAGACAACTTTCTCTTCATCAATTTTTCATGTAAAATATGATGAATGTGTTTCTTCGATATGCCCATAGTTTTTATCATTTTTGATTCAATGATCATTCAGTATCATTTTCAAATCAATTAAAATAATACAACTATGTTTAAATTCAGCTGTTCTTTCATTTTTTTATAATGGAAACGATAAAATGGAATTTTCATAAATAGCGCCTAACTGCGATTTTATTTGCGCATGCGTATGGATTTTTAAATGCAAAAATTTCATTACGACAGAATATTCGATTTGTTTTCTTTAAAACACTGACATAGATTGATACAAAACGACTGTCAAACAACAACAACAAATAAGCTTCCAAAATCTATTCAATTTTCAGATGTGTCTTTCAAAGGATATACAATATTTATTGTTAATATTAGAATAGTTTTGACAAGTAATGGTATCTTTCAGTTGAGATTTCAAACTTTTTGAACGAACCTCGTAGGGTATAGTCAAATAGTTTTTGAAATTAATTCTGATCACATAAATTTACTTATGTATAAAAATCATCATAAAATATTACATATCTATTTATCAAAGATATTCTAATTATAAATAAAAGCATATGTGTATATATATATATACAAATTAAAAATAAAAAAAAATTTATAAATTATTTATATAATTATTTTTTTAAATAATATAATTAAATGATTAAATATGAAACATTCGCTTATATGTATATATTTAAATACGAATGATTTCAATATGTTAGAACTGATTTGATGAAAAAATGAAAGTTCAAATCCATAATAAAAGGAAAGAAAAATATATATAATAATGAAAATATAACAATGAAAAAAATATATATCGATAAAACTCTATAGTTTTTATTAAAGTAGGAACGTTATATATATATATATATGTATTGCAGCATTTTCTCGAAATCAAATTACAGTCTAATATCTCCCGATAAATCTCATTTCAAGTTCATCATCTTTTTCAGTCATCGCTTGCAATTAATTGCATCCTTATATTTCATGATTTCATATTTTTTATGGTCTGCGCGCAACAGTATTTTTTTAAATCTTTTATTTCTTCTTCTCTTTGTCCATTTTGGTATATTTATTGTATTTTCTTCTCACATTCATTCATTCCTATTCATACGAGATTATTGAAAATTTATATAAATGTTTCTGGATTACACAAAAATCAGCCCTTTTTTATTAATCATTATAAAATGACTATTTATACATAAGATTTTTAACGCATATTTCAAATATATTAAACATGTAAAATATTTCTGAAAAAAGAATATAAAAAATTTTTTTGTTTCAAACATTTCATGTAATATACATGCATAAAAGTAACTGTAAATTATGTTAATAATATAAGTTAAAATTGGTGAAATAAAACTGCAATTTATTACATTTCTTGTGAAAAGAACTATTCTCTTTCTCTCTCTCTTTTTCTTGTTTTGAGATATGGAATGCAATTTAGACATAGGTGTAACCATTCATATATGTAGGCAAGATACATTTATTTAAAATCCCTGTGTCTGTATTTCACGTCCCTGAAAGCAATCATGAAACTTGTTTGGTCCAGTAATATTCAAAATCTCTCTTTTTTATGTTAATTCGCAAATGAATAATGTTAAGCATCAAAGCTTAACATTTTATAATACATTATAGCGAATACTTATCAGTTTAGGTACTATTTTAATCAGAAAGGAAAAGAAAGTATTGTAACACATATTTTCTTTTTCATTTTGTTTTTCCAGCAATTATTAACGACATACTTCATCCCTGTCCTTCTTCTTTTCTTAAATGTAAATACGCTAAAAAAAATGCCCTCACAGGATAAAAGTCGACATTATTGTTTTACATGTCGTTATGTTCAAGCTATAAAAAGGAATCATTTATAACAATGCGGATAATCGCTCTATATATTACTATAAATATTTTTGTTTGTTTGTTTGTAATTATTAATTATTATATTTAATACTATTTATATCAATATTATTATTTAATATTAATATTATTTTATTTTATTATTATTATTTCTATTAATAAATAACATTCGCTCTAGAGAACATTCTGTTCGAAATACTGTTTACTCTTTAAATTTGCCATAATCTTCTAGGTCTTTTGTGTTAAGAATTTTCTTTTCTTCTCATCGTGGTACACTTCTGCACCTGAGAACTATATTGTAGCACTTATATATAAAAGCTATCCCCGAGTTATGAAAAATAAAACAGTAATACTGCATCATGTTAGATTATTTTATAAATTATCCTTGTATTTTCTCTACTTGCAATGAATCTTTTGATTATATAATGGTAAAGAAGAATTTAAACTATACATATGTGAGGTCAATATAAAATGTAAGTAATTATGTTTGAAAGATGGATAATGTTATGTTAAAATTCTATGCAATTGTAATACACATTACAACAGAATATAAATGTATTAAATTATCTTAATATCAAAATGTTAATGATAATAGAAAAGCATAAATAAAAGAAAATAAGAATTTAAAATGTTTATTTGGAATGATATCAAAGCAATATACATTTGACGCTCTATTGATCTAATTAATTTTGCATAAAAGTATTTGTCCGTGCCATCTAAATATTAAGGCCATAGATCAAATAAACTTTATTATGTTGATTCTATAACGTGTAATTCTCGTTAACGTTCATTTTTTTTGGAATGATCATATTATATGCCATCTACGTATGTATATCTTATAGCTCTCAGGTACAAAATTATTTTTCATGTAAAATCTTTTTTTCACTAACTGTACATGTATGTATGTCACTATGCGATAGGCATTCCTCATAGAACTTGAAACGGAAGGAGCCTTCCAAATATTTAATTCCATAGCACGTTTGTCGTGTAAGAAAATTTCATTCCAAATTTGTCAAAGATATTAATCTTCTATTTGTTTACTTTGTCAATAATTTATTTTGAAAGAAAACATTAAGTTAATGCAGGCATTAGATTCAAGTTTGCAATGTACAATATTATCTTGTACTTGTCTATGTTTAGGAAAAATGTTTGCTGATATTTGACAAATAAGATACCTAAATCAAGATATTCTATTTCAATGTAGTTTTCAGTTCTGTCTTATTTACATATTTTTCTGACTGATTACAATAATTTTCTATTCAATTCTTTTATATTCTTCTTAAATATATTATGTTCAAACTGTACTGCAGTGTGTATATATTCAATGAATAGTAAAAGTACAAATGTTCTCACAGACACGGAACTTTCAATATTGAAAGATTTCTTTCGATAGAAACCCTTATACATAAATAAACTTCTATTGGTGGAATGACGCAACGGTATAAGTCTGCAGTATAAGACACGAATATGCATACATATATATATGTATACAGTTTGATTCTTCTTCCATTTTCCAATGAATATGTTCTTATAAAGGTTTTATGAATATAAATTTGAGGGTAAATCGTTTGTCTTACGTGTAAAGGAGATAAAGAAAATGATAAATAATGCACGACTTTTAGCGATACTAAATGAAGAGATGCATCAAGCCGTATAACAATTTTCTTCTAAGATCATTGAACTATGCTAGAATAATTTTCACTTGGCCACACATAATACAAATGACGATAATGGGTGTGTGGTTGTAATTCTGGAAATTGCAATGTATAAGACGATGGGACATATTCGTCATGATGATTTGATACTATATTTGTATCAAACTGTGGCTATACTATAGTACCCCCATCTTCTGCTGGACTGACAACGTGTAGGGCATTACCAACCTGTCCAATGCCTGGCTGGAATAAAAGCAAAGCAGATATTATTTAAAAATTTACTATTTTACATCCTATAAATTTTATCTATAATTGAAGATAACCATTTTCTATTCTAATAAAAAAACTGGTGCAACAATATAGCATTGAAAAAAGTTTTTAAAGCTTAAATTTATAAATACAAGATGCCTCGTAATATAGGCACATTAAAATAAATTCTAAGCTTATACTAATGCTCTATTTGTCATTATATTATGCTCTATCTATCTAATTAAGCAATAAACGAATGAAATAAATGATAATTCATACGTACCATGCGATAACTCAGGGAAGTCTCATCCACGATTCTCTTGCATCAGCCAAAGCATTGGTACAGAACATTAATCTTTCCAATCAAAGTAAAAAATTAATGCCCCACCGGCTTTAAGAAACAAGCGCAAGCATCTTCCGATTAAATTATAAGACTGTC